AAACAAAAGTTTTACGAAACAGTACTTTTATTTCCTACAAAACACATCGATATTTTATTTTCTATTCTACTTCATTTTTTTAAAGTGATAGTAAGCAACCCACTAAATTGATGCCGTGACCTGGTATACTGTGACCTGCAATTAAAAAGAAGCCTGTCAAATGCTGAAATGACCGCTGTAAGCAGGGTGATGATTGTTTTCAGTTTTTGCCTTTTAAAAACAATCTTGGAATGTGAACAAAACCATCCTCAGGAGAGGCAAGATTGAGTTCTTAACTTGATTTCAGGAGAGATTGATTTCTCTGTTTCTTTTATTTTTATTGGTTTTAATTTCGAGTGCTCGTTTACATTTGTTCCATGAGTTGAGGTGATAAAAGAAAGTGACAGGAAAGAAAGCAAGAGCCATGCCCCAAGCACACATCTAAGCAGGTATCTTACTGTAGCTAAGAGTTGCAGTGCCTGTTCCTGGTATGTCCTAAGTAGTCAAACTGAAGTAGCACTGGAAGAGGCCACTTGGTTGGGAAGTTGAGATACCAAATCAGCTTTCTGTCAGCACAGCTGAAATGTATATTGTCACTCTTCTCTTTCCTTGAGAATTTCTGTAGCCTCTAGTGTTCTGTTTCGTGTGGTTTGTAAGGCTTCCTTAGCCAGTGTTTCTCTGGATCTGCTTTATTCTCCAATGGTTTTGATGTGGAAATAGTAACAGACCCAGTGGCTCTAAGTTTAGAACCGCTTGATGCTGAGCCTCAGAGGGGCCTTTGTAGCCTTTGTGAAGTTCAGGCACTGCTCTTTCAGCACTCAAGCTCCTGTCTCCATTAAATATAGCAGTGAAGCGCAGCTTATTGCTGGAAGCATATCACAGCTACCTTGAAGATTTTTCATGCCAGTAAGAAAGATCTTTTTGTTTAGCTTCGGTTATATTTAGGACCAATGAATTAGCTCTAAACAGCCCTTCCATCTGGTTGGTAAGGGGGGCGATAAAGAAAGGAAACCATGATTGAATGAGGGGAAATGGATGTTCATTTTGAGCTGTCAAATTATCAAAGCAGAATTTCCCCCTACCCTGTCATACAATGGTCATTCTTCTAAAGGGTTCCTTTAAAGGCCTCGTAAATTAGCCATTTTCAGTTGTTTCAGAACAGGCCACCTCCCATGGCCCCACACTGCTTGGTATTCCTAGTTTTTAGTTCTGTGTCCCCTGAGATTCTCAGTTCATAATTCAGCAAGAGAAGAACACTGTAAAGCTGTTAATGTCTAAAACCTTCCTTAGTGTTAAAACAGTCATTTTCCAATTGGCAACACATTTCACCATTTGCCATATTCAGTAGTTCTGTCTTTATGTACAAATTATTAGCCTTAGCCCACCCTCGCCCCTCTACGTAGCACACACGCCTACTACCTTCTTTTCTCTTTTCCTCTCATAAGTCCAGTGGAACACAGTTGTCTGCCTCCAAGTTTATATATAAATGCATATATATGTGTTTATATTTTTTTTTTTTATGAAAAACTGTAAGAAAAGGAATAAAAAAGAGCTGAGATGATTAAACTTTCCAAGCCTGAGATGGAATCCCTGCAGCCTAGCAGTGGTGTTTCATTTACTGTGGCATTTACAAAGCTGTCAGTTGTTCTGCTCTTATCAATGCCTGTTTATCCCCACAGAGTGTTTCCTGTGGACACATGTGCATATCACCTGGTGGCCAGACTGGCCACACTAGCTCCCGGTGATGTCCAGTGGGGTCTGTATTAGAGAACTGAGATAGACTAATGTTTCCAGGACAGGTCTAATGACTTAGAAAGGAACTTATTTTTTTACCGTTTTTAACTCTTGACCAATTGAAGTTGTAAAGTTTTCTTTTCATAATCCTCAATCAATAATTCAGTGGAAATTTTTTTTTTAAATAATTTGTTTTTAATGTCATACAGGTATTGATATTTTTAATTTCTCAGCAGTTAATTTTTTTTTACAACACATCATCATAAAGAATTTTACTTAAAATGAAAAAAGTTAATGCAAAATTTTAATCCCAAAACTTACTAAACATTGTTTGTTGCCAGAAAACTAGCTTCTCTCAATTTTTGCCTAGCTGTTGGCATTTATTGTGGTGCCTTGTAAGGCGAGATTAGTTATGTGTTGCTCATCTCTAGTTAGCTACATATCATCTCTTGAATGCATCTAAATTGAAAGATAATGGTTGAGAAGTAAAAAAAAGTAGGAAAGAAGGCTGGATGAAGTTCCTCAGGGGAAGACGGTACTGTTGGCAGTAGGAAGTATATGGAATTAGGCAAAAAATGACTATTGCAAGGAGAGGAAAAAAACAAGGTTGGAGTAATATGTACAGGACAGAGAAATGAATGTTATTCTAGAGATATAATTGAAGTAAAGAAACCATGATTCTACTGGGCAAGAAGAAAGAGGAACTAAAGCAGTGTGTTAAAAAGGGATGTGGGAAGTTCAGCAAATGCTAAATTATAAATTCCTTGTCGGCAGTGGTCCTGAGTTCCTGGAATTGAACATCTCCCCCTGCCTTCCCCTAGCACTCACTAGCATACGTGGTGAAATGTGACCCTCCAGCATGCAGTGCTCAAGAAAGCTGGGAATACCTGTCACATGTCAATGTATCTATTAAGGATATATGGGGTTTAGAGGCAAGATTTTTTTTTTTTATTAAAAAAAATTTTTTTTTTTAGTTTTTATTGTGGTGAAATATATGTAACAAAACATTTCAGCCGCCCTTATGTGTACAATCCGCTGGCATTAACTACCGTATTCACTGTGTTGTGCACAATCGCCACTGTTTCCAGGTGTTTTAGTCGCCCTAATAAAACTCTGTACTACTTAAGCAATAGGCCTGACTTCTCCCTCCTGCATGCCCCAGGTAGTCACTAATGAACTTCAGGCTCTATGCATTTGCCTTTTCTGAATATTTCACGTAAGTGGGATCATAGAAGGTTTTCTTTCTTTTTTTTTTAATCCCTGTGTTCACTGTAGCAGCCCTGATAACTCTTAAAAGAACAGATTGGAGCTGAGGTATATTTTCTCTCTTCACCATCACTGATTCATTCATTTCTGACCTTCAGGTTAGCTCTTGGGGAGAAAATCCCGCAAAGAGAGTACAGGTTTAATCTTCCTCTTTGTCTTCTCGCCTTGCTAGGATCCTGTCTGCCTCTTTCCTACACCAGTTGGCTTTCTCTGGTTTCACTCTCGCCAAGATTTGTTTGTGTTTTCCTTGGAGTAGAGGGCAGTGGGGGTAGGGGGTCTGTCCTGATTCAGAGACTCAGAGGTGAAAAGTACTGTTGACAGACAAGTTCTGTTGTTGGGGCTATTAAAAATATTTTATTTTTGACTTGTTTTGTGATATCTGAACCAATCCTTTAGAAGTTATTTACTTATTTCATAGCAGGGCCTTTACTTTGTAACCAGCTTGTACTTTTCAACACATAACCCCTAGAATTGCTAGGATTCCTGAAATCATCTTGTCCATCCTTTGTTTTTCTTTCAAAACTTCCGTAGTATCAGATCAAACAGTGCCTGACAGTGGGCCTTCAGTTACTGATTGAACGTGGGCTTTGTAGTCAAGTGGGCCTGGGTTTACATCCTGACTTTGTTACTCAGCTGTGTGACTCTTTGGTGCTCAGTTCCCTCATTTGTAAAACGTGGCTAGTAATCCCTGTCTCTTAGGATTAGTGTGAGCTTAAATGAGAGAGTACATGTGAAGCACCTAGCACAGTGTCTGGCAGAGAGACCAGTTGATTCCTCCCTTTGAATGCGTAAATCACTGTCATTTTGAGAAGAGAATTTCCTAATCTATCAGTCACCCATCCCTTCCTGGACAACCGTTCATGTTGGAACTTCTCTCTTTGGTTAAACTTAACTCCTTTTTTTTTTTTTGAACGTTGTGCTGTAGGTGAAAGTTTACATAGCAAATTCGTTTTCCAGTCAATGATTCTTACACAGATTGTTCGGTGACATTGGTTGCAATCCCTGCAAGGTGTCAGCACTCTCCCCGTTTCCTCCCTGGGTTCCCTGTTTCCATTAGTTCGGTTCCCCCGTCCCTTCCTGCCATCTCGTCTTTGGCTTTGGGCAAATGTTGCCCTTTTTGTCTTATATAGTTGATCATTCTAAGGAGTACATTCTTCGTGGGTGTTATTGTTTATTTTATAGCTCTATCATTTGGCTGAAAGGTGGCCACCGGCAGTGTCTTCAGTTTCAAGTTAGAAGGTTATCTTTGGGCAGTAGTCTCAGGGGTTCCTCCAGTCTCTTTCAGACCATTAAGTCTGGTCTTTTTTTTTTTTTTTTTTAATTTAGATTTTCTTCTGTATTTTTTACCCATTCTAACCAGGACCTTCTATTGTGATCCTGGGTCAGAGTGGTCAGTAGTAGTAGCTGGGCACCATCTAGTTCTTCTGGTCTCAGGTTAGAGGAGACTGTGGTTTATGTGAGCCATTAGTCCTTTGGATTAATTGCTTCCTTGAGTCATTGGTATTCTTCGTTTTCCTTTGCTCCAGGCAGGAAGAGACCAATAGTTGCTTCTTAGATGGCTGCTTGCAAGCTTTTAAGAACCCAGATGCTACTCACCAGACTAAGATATAGAACATTATGTTTATGAACTGTATTTTGCCAGTTGACCTAGATGTTCCCTGAGACTATGGTCCTTAGCCTTCAAGTCCAGTAGTTCAGTCCCAATGTCTAAGTAGTTTCTATAACTGTGCCCCCTATGTGCTCTATTATATGTGTATATGAGTATACATGCAGCATTAACAAATATGTATATAGAAATTTCCACAACCATACCTATATATGTATGCAGGTGTAATCACGTATGACTTCCCTCACCTATTTAGCATACATATTAACCTATGTATCTACTCACAAGTTATTGTTTATTACTGTTATTGTAGGATTGTATGTTACAGCATTTACCATAGTTGCCCTTTATTCTTACGTACCTCCCAGTGTCTTCCTGTGCCTTGATCATGTTGTGCTGTCTTCCCCCATATTGTAAAAGTATGGAATGCTTCACATATTTGCATGTCATCCTCGTGCAGGGGCCGTACTAATCTCTGTATCATTCCAATTTTAGTTTATATGCTGCCGAAGTGAGCACTAAACTTAAGTCCTTCTTGTTCCAGCTTACTTATAGTTCTTATTCTTCTTTGATTAGAGGCATAATTCATTATGACTTACTTTTGTAATTAAATGAAAGAAGAGAAAGATATTACAAAAATATAAATAATACAGAAGTATATAAAGTCAAGAGTCCCTACAGAGGACTGGCAGGTGTACATGGCAGGCAGGAGCAGTGACACAGCCCACATGAGACCCCAACCCCACCGCCTTCATCCTGGCACTCGGAGCCTCACTGACCCTGCCACCTGGACATGCTTCAGCCCATCCTTCTAAACCTTCTCTGGCTCCCTATTGTACCCCAAATGGAGCCTACCCTCCTCCTCTGACATTCAAGGCCCTCCCAAGTCTGCCTGCCCATCCCAACTCCCACCCTCTTGCCCCACACCCTGTCCCACCTCCCACCTTCACCCAGGTTCTTATTTGGGGCATCCAGGGCCCCTGTCCCTTTTTCCCACGTGCAAAGATCATCACAGGTAGTGCCCAGATCAAGCAGTTTTAGTACTAGTGAGTCACACAGGAAAATAAATTCATATCAGAAAGTAAAAAAAAGTCCTCGAGTGGTACAGACAGTTACCATGCTTGGCTGCTAACTAAAAGGTTGGAGGTTCAGGTCTTCCCAGAGGTGCCTTGGAAGAAAGGCCTGGCAATCTGCTTCTGAATAAACAGCCATTGAAAGCCTCAAGGAGCAGAGTTCTACTCTGACACGCATGGGGTTGCCATGAGTCTGAATTAACTTGAGAGCAACTGGTTTTGGTTTGTATTAAGTTAAACGTTAGTGTCCTGTTCCTCTTTTTCTCTTCTCCATTCTGCTATTTTGACTTTCTAACTCTTGATAAATCTGGTAAGTGGTAAGAGAATAAATCTTCAGATTCCTACTTCTATTTCCATATAAGTGTAGCTGATGTTTGAATACCCACAAAGTAGAATGCATGGAGGCTATTCAGTACAGTCTTGTCAATTTATCTGTTACCGAATTCATTGCAGTATGGAATACTGAAAAGATAGTTTAGGTCCTTAAGGGCCTCATGCTTATGAGTTGAAATGTAGATTTAAACCTTTGTTTTTGGGTATTCAGATATATTTCTGCTTTTAGCATGATGCTTTCTTGGTTTCTTTGGCTTTCTTAGGGCTTTGGTTGGGATTTTTTTTCCCCCTCAAGTCTTGTTTCTGGCCTCCCAGACACCACAGTGATAGTTTTACTACATAGGGAGATGAGCTTGTATCCATACTGTGCTGACTACTGGGATAAAGCTCTGGGTTGGCTTCACATTAGTCTTAGGTTCTTATGAGGCATGTGGTAGCCTAGAAACCCATTCAATTGCAGCTTCTCCTTGGAGAGTGTTTGTACCACTGATAACTGAAGGTTAATAAGAGCCACAGTATTTTCTACAATGTAACAAGAATAGAGAGGCATTTTCCTTAATATGTAATTAATATTTAAGAGTGATAGTGAGTTCAGGGAACTATATAAAAAGGAAGGAGAATCAACCTCTTTGTAAAAACAAACAGGAAAAATCTTCCAATTGCCCTATGAGAATGGAATGGAAGGAGAATTGAAAGTAAAGGTGGCTAGGATATGGGCACAGGGATTGAGGGTAAGGCTGTGCTGAGCAAGGGCAAGACTGTTAGGTAGTTGTGTGGTTACTTTCTGCGTGATGTGAACCTGAGGCTTAAGAACCGTGGAGAAAGCGAAGACGCCTGCTGCCTGCCACTTTAGCCTGAGTACACGACTGTTTTCTGTTCGAGTCATCGGTATAATCATCTTTACGGTTGTTTCAGTAATGCACCATGAGCCGTAGACTAAAGAGTTCTGACCAGTAAGAGCCAGTACTTTAAGGAATTAGTAAGGAAGTGGTCAGGCTTCTTCAGTGATGGAGTGATTGCTTTTTGGCATTTTAGAATAATGTCATTTTATATCAAAAATAAAACCAAAGTGGTGAATTCTGGTGTTTGCACAGTTGCGTTCTCCTTTCTGTTGCATTTTCTTCATCCTCTCAAGAAAATTGATGGTAACAGATAACTTCCATAAACTCCCTGGGTTTGTGCAGAATGTGTTCTACAAGAGAAATCTCTTCAGGAATTCATTGTGCCTCGAAATGGGAATTATGGGACACTTCCCTGATTCCCTAAAATTCTTTTTTCTTCCCTGAGTTAGGAGCAAAATGCTTAGTCACTGATTCATTCTTGGAGTAGGGAGTAAACAGCAATTCCAGATAAGGAGAAATCTTTAAACTGTGTGGGATGTGGGTTGAAAGATAGAAACCTTTATATATGCTGTTTAAAAGTGGTTGTGAGTAAGTAGTAAAGGCATCATTCATTCATTCTGTATTTTTTAATTGAATTCCTATTAAGTGACAGGCACTGTTTTAGGTGGTGGTCATATAGCCTTCATGAAACAGACAATCTGAGGTCAGACTTTCCTCCAGGTAGCCATAATAGGGCCAGGAGAGCTCTGGCTTACTCTTCTCAATATTAATTATTCTTTTTTTCACTCCCTGTCTCCTGGAGACAGTGCTGGCTTCCCTTTTTGTTTATAACCGTGAGGCATGAGTCACCGCTTCACTGTGAGGATTGCAGATTTACATAGCATGTTCCCGTCTGATTTGTTCTGCTGCCAAGGTCTCAGCCGGCGGCTCCTTGCTGCCTCTGACATTCGTGGCAGTCCGAGCAGTGAGACCAGCTGCTGGAAGTTAATTAACCAGGGAACTAACAGAGCAGAGAGAACAGGCTACCTGTTTTCTATCCATTTTTATTTAGCACAAGATAGATTTAGGAGTGCCAATATATATAGGTTATATCCTATCATTAGAAAGCCCTGAGTCTTTTTTTTTTTTTTTATTTGATGAATTTGCACCTCTGAGGAATAAAGTTAACTTGTCAGTTCTACTCTGTCCTATAGGGTCGCTATGAGTCGGAATTGACCAGATAGCAATGGGTTTGGTTTGGTTTTGTCTGTTAGAATATTGGTCCTACAAATAGACTTAGCAGCTTTGGCTCATGGTTCTGTTGCACACACAAAAAGATCTTTGAGGAAAACCTGTAAATTTAGTTTATAATTTTAAGAAAATCCATCAAATAAACAAGTAAATGAAATTCTTCCTGAAATTTTCTAAACAACACTTATCAGTTTTGAATAAATTTAGGCTTTCTTCTCATAATATTCCTGTAATAAATTTGATTGATTAATTTACATCTTTTTAAATATATATATTTAGGACAGCTTTACAATATTAAAATATATATTTTAAAAAACACTTCCACCTAAAATTCTCCACGTTAGTATAACAGTTTTCATTTCTTGGGATTCTCTTTATTGAGTTATTATATGTAGTTATAATGCCGGCGTTTATGCAATTCTGTGTTCTTAGAATTTATGCAGTTCTGTGTTCTCTAAACCTTAGAATTTCTCACTTACCATCTTTTTGAATATGCCTCACTGAAGTGATTCATACTCTAGCGTGTGTGACTCAGGGCCGTGAAAAGGGGTTTGTTTTGAATAGCACGATGAGTGTCAGGCTAGGCTTCCAACCAGAAAACGTTCAGTGCAGTTTGAGGCACAGATGAAACAACAAATTTCTACTTGGCCTAGGCCTGGGTGGAGAGTTGGTCGATTTATATAGTATGTTCTCAAATTACAGATGGTGAGATGCTAAGGCACTTTTAGCTTTAGAGACCTCAAGGTAGCCAGTCAAATGAAAGTTGTGTGACCTGCTTGAAAATAAAGCTTAGTTCTCTGTTGGGGAAGAAGGTGAGACCTTTGCACTTGGTTGGTAGTGGGAGAGATTAAAAAGAAGTAAAATTTCCATATCTGATTATTGTTAAGGACACAAACTTGAGCAGATTTATGTTGACTTCTTTTGTGACTGTAAAAATATGCTAGAATTCTGTGGAAGATTGATTTTGAATTTGCAGACCTCTGAAGACTTCTGAGGTTTGTGTGCCCTTGATGGTGACTTAGGCGTGAATCCCAGGTCAGACCCTAGGTCTGGAATGCCAGGTGAAGTAGATGGTTTCAGAGACATAGGGGAGCAGCCTATGCAGTGGAATGAAATATATGCTGCCTAAGCGCTTTGACATCCTCAGGAAAGAAGCAGAACACAAAGCAGACTACAGGGTAAAGGACCTGCAGAAGGTTTGTTTTAAACCAAAGATCATCCTTGAAACTGACATTGGGAACTTGGTGTATCAGTTAGGACTGGGTTCAATCACATGTAACAGTAATATAATCAGGAAAACAGGAATTTAAACTAGTCACAGCCCCCCACCCCAACACTCACATAAAAGAAATCTGAAGGCAGTTAGTTCAGGGCCAGTGTGGCAGCTTTGTGATTATCAGGGACCTAGGCTCCCTCTTTCTTTTTGCTTCATCGTCCTTAACACTGGCTTCCACCCTCAGGGTATGCCTTAGGGTTGCTGGATGACCACAGCTGCACTAGCTATCACATCTGCACTCCAAGCAGGAAGAAGGGCAAGCCAACGAGCATAGTTCCTGGTAGAATCAACTCTCCTCTAAAGCGCTTTCCTGGAAACCCTGCCCACTTACATCTCATTGGCTGCCCCTGTCTGTAAAACATATTTGGGTAAATATTGGATAGGCTGTCGGGTTGCTATGAGTAGGAATCGACTTGTCGGCAGCAGGTTTTTTGGTTTGGTAAACTGTAGTTTCTGCCATAACGAGATCATGAGAATAAAGATATTACCAAGACTTAGGGAAGCAAAACTTTGGGACACCTGCAAACTCTCACAATAGGACAGCAATAATGTTTGGTGAACCTGGCTTTTAGTTTGCTGCTTAATTAATTGATTCAACAATATTCCATACTTACTATGTGCTAAAGGAGCCCTGCTCGTGTAGTAGTTAAGCGCTTGGCTGCTCACCAAAAGGTTGGCGGTTCAAACCCACCAGGCACTCCACAGGAAAAAGATGTGGCAGTCTATTTCCATAAAGATTACAGCCTTGGACCAGCCCAGGGGCAA